GGCCGCCACACGGGCAAAATTCAAAATTTCCTACCAACTGAAAATATTAGGTGTGTCCCACGCGCTCATATGACCTTATGCGGTTGCGAGCGCCGTAAAACACTTTACAAAAACGAAAATTATAATGACCTGTTTTGTGCTGTTTCAACTCATTCAGTGCTTGATGCCCATCTCATACTGGACAGTTTTTGTTACAGTTTTAGGTAACTGGATCTACTCAGGGAAATGACCGTGAATGAAAAATCATACTGTAAATTATTATACAGGCTTTTATTACTTGTACTTTATTTACTAAGTCGATTGTCTAACAATGGGTGGTTGGCGGGTGCTCTGGTGTGGTTTGCTCCTTCTTTCCTATCAAACATCTGTCGTCTTTATCTCCCCTCCTCCTTTTTTGTGTTTGTTACTCACTTGTAACACCTCTAATCTTCGGCACTTATATGACCTTATTGTGTTGCAAGTGCCGTAAAACACTTACTAAAACTAAAAAATTGTCTAACAATCTTAATTTTATTATTGCCACTGGTCAGATTGACAAGAGTGCTGCTTGCACAAAACAGGAGGTCAAAAGGTGCACGCCTCCTCGTTTTCAGCAACAAAATTATCAATAATATTGATAATAATAATAATTATTATAATTATAATAATAATACTGATAATATTAATAATAATAATGATGATGATAATAATAAGAAGAAGAAGAATAATACAATAGTAATTTCATTTATATAGTGCATATTCGTGCTCAACAGCAAGCTCAATCCGGTTTACAGCTATTATTACCCCAGCAGTCCGTTGAACATTAGTCGGAAATATTCTCACTCCCGGGGAAGCATACAGTGCAAGCTGCAGATTACACACCACATGCAAAACTACTAGCAAACTGACAAGATCTTTCACCGTCTACAGCTGGGTACCCATTTCCACCTGGGTGAAGTGAGGAAAATTCACATGCAGTATGTTCCCGAAGAACACGAAAACAACCCACGGCCTTACAGTTGAGATTCCAAGAGCTCATTGACAATAGGGGAATGTGTGAATCTAGTTTTTTCACTCTTGTGTCTGCTGTCTCTTTCTTCACCATGTGGAAACGCGCTAGAATAAAAAAGGCAGAATGCGAAAGTGCTCGTCCGTGAAATCTGACAATAAATTTAACAATAAATTAGGCCCTACATTTGTGTTGCCCTTTTTCGTCTCAAAGAGAGGCTCAATGTGCATCGCAAGAAAAAAATTCACAGGTTTGTCAAACACATGTACAACCGAGAAAGAATTAAAACCTCTTCTAAAAAATTTACACTCTGCTCAAAAATACAAGTACATTGAGAAAAATCCAGTTTTACAAGAAACATGTATGTTGACATAACAATTATAAAAATCAGTACTGGCACTTTTCTGTCTCTGTCCATAGTCTATTACCCATTTGCAGGATGTAAGTGACGGCCTGTCTTTCACTAATTCTCCTCCTTTTCATAGCTCAATGAGTTATCAGGGGGCTCTCGTGGCCTAGAGGTTAAGGTGTTGGCCTCTCATTCAAAGGTCCCGGGTTTGAATCCGGGTAGCGACCAAAAAATTTTCTTCTCTAAAATTGTCTCCTTTTACCTCCTTTCCTGCTGTCTAGCAATGTTCTGTTGTCTGCTTTCATTTCCACTTTCTGCCCCCACCCCCTCATCTCCTTTGCCCCCTCCTCTGGGCTCCTGACTCTTTCTGCAGCCTTTCTACTGTTACTCCTTGGTTCCTTCTTACTGCTGTCTTTCTGCCACACCCCTGATCTTCTGGTAGGAAAGATCTACACCTAGCCTTCTCGGACAAGGGCGAAAAATCTCGGAGGGCCAGTGTGCAAGTTACGCACGTTAAAGATCCCTTGGTGGTCTAAAATCGATAAGAGTAGGCTTCGGCCGCCACCCAGCAAAATTCAAAATTTCCTAAGGCTCTCAGACTTGTAATCGTAAGGTTGTGGGTTCGAATCCTGTTTTGGGCCGGACGTTGTGTCCTTGAGTGAGGCACTTTACACGAATTTTCCTCACTTCTCCCAGATGGGAATGGGTACCCGGCTATAGACAGTGAAAGATCTTGTCAGTTTGTTAGTGTTTGAGTGCTTAACCAGCTGCTTGCAATGTATGCTTCCCGGGAAATTGAGAATGTTTTGGAGTGTTCTAAGGTCTGCTGGAGTAATAATATTGTGTAAAGCGCATAGAGTTTGCTGTCAAGCGGGGGTATGCGCTATACAAATGCTATTATTATATTATATTTATTATAGGGTCTTGCTCACTACTGGTATCTAGGGCTCAAAGGGTTAAAGTTGTTAATAATATATTTCAGGTGTACAACTTGCTCAACCAAGGTGAGAACACTGAGCTCCCCAAGCCAGCTTTTCTTCGGGAATCAGAGGCTATTAAGCCAGATTCTCCATCACCTGACTCGAAAGAGGCCATGGAACAGATATGGCAGCTGATCCGAGAGTGCTGGAGTCACGACCCCAACGACAGACCCAACACCACCACTCTGATCACCAGGCTCTTCGGTAGGAGTCCCATTATTTATTTTTTTTAAATTAATTTTTTTAAAAATCCTGTCCATTCCTATCAGCTGGTGTTTTTTGTGGGAGATTGTTAGCGTTTGAGCGCTGAACCATTCTTGCCGTGTAGCTCTCTCCCACTGTTTTCTCGAGTTGACCTGTCGGTAACTGATTTTCCACTGCTGGTGAGGGAGGCGTTTGAACCATCAGAGTCCATTAGCCTCGCCCACAACTCTTTAACTGGAACCACACATGAAACGTGAAATGAGCAGTGGCTCAGTTTACCCTGATGGTAACTATGGACATCGACATGAACTTGCGACAGAAACTTTTATTGAAACCGTCTTTAGCGATTGAAAGTGTTCTTTCAGTTTCTGTGGTGTATTTGGTATTGTTTTACCATATGGCACTTGGGTCTTCCTTGTCTGACACATTTCGTTTTGTCTTACCCTTTTACTGGTCGTTTGTCTTCCTTGTCCGAGACATTTCATTTTGTCTTACCCTTTTACTGGTCATCTGTCTTCCTTGTCCGAGACATTTCATTTTGTCTTGCTCTTTTACTGGTCATCTGTCTTCCTTGTCTGACACATTTCATTTTGTCTTACCCTTTTACTGGTCATCTGTCTTCCTTGTCTGACACATTTCATTTTGTCTTACCCTTTTACTGGTCGTTTGTCTTCCTTGTCCGAGACATTTCATTTTGTCTTACCCTTTTACTGGTCATCTGTCTTCCTTGTCCGAGACATTTCATTTTGTCTTGCTCTTTTACTGGTCATCTGTCTTCCTTGTCTGACACATTTCATTTTGTCTTACCCTTTTACTGGTCATCTGTCTTCCTTGTCTGACACATTTCATTTTGTCTTACCCTTTTACTGGTCGTTTGTCTTCCTTGTCCGAGACATTTCATTTTGTCTTGCCCTTTTACTGCTGATTTGTCTTCCTTGTCTGACACATTTTAAAGAATTTAACGTTCTCAACAGCCTCAAAACCTGCCTTTCTGCTTTGTCTTAAAAAAATCCCCAAAACCAAAACAAAATCAATTTGAATGGGGCAGTCCCAAGCCTGCGATCGCCTCTAGTTCGGACCTCAGAAGGGAATGGTTTGTCTTCTTCATTTTGGTCTGTCCTGTCTAAGTGGCCACCTGTGTAAGAGGATGGCCGTTTTTGACAGTTTCAACTGTTTTTGTCTTTATTATTATTACCTTGTGGCGTCGGTAGCCTAGTGGTTAGGCTACCGGACTCGTAATCGTGAGATTGCGAGGTCGGGGGTTCGAGCCTCAGCTCGGTCCGACATTGTGTCCTTGGGAAAGGCACTTTACACGAACTTCCCACTTGGCTTGGTGCTATCGGACGTTTAACTAGGAGGTTCCGCCTCTTAAATAACCTAATAGTGTTGATAGGGGCGTTAAACCTATACCATTTCACCATTTTAAAAAATTATTACCTTTTAAATATTGGTGTAATTATATAACAAGATTATTTTTTTTCTCTCTGTACAGAAATTCGGGAAGATGTCGGGGTCATAAAAAATGAGACGCAAAACGAAGTTCTGATAAAGCTTCTGTATGATGCTGGCGACCACAACGTGAAAGAGAGTATGTATTTCCTTTTTAGAATATCTTTATTTTATTTTAAGGCTCTGTGATTCTGGATGGAATTACCCCATAAAGAATGTCTAGCTATGATGTTGGTGGCAGCTTTTAGATGAGAGACAACAACCGTGATGCACCTTTGAGCGAAACACTCTATCTACCCTTGACTTGAAAAAGTGCGTAGTGGTGTAGTGATGCTGTTAATACTGTGATGTTATAAAGGCTGTTGTACTTCAATGTGAACTTAAATTACGGTGTTATTGTTGTGTACAGTGAACCAATCCGTGCGTACAAATGTAGAAAAATGTCCAGTGCCTTAACACTTTACTTGCCACTGTTTCTAAGGGTAAAAAAAAAACACCTTTAGTGGGTGGTTGGCAGGTGCTCTGGTGTGGTTTGCTTCTCCTTTCCTGTCAAACATCTATCTTCCTTACCTCCACTCCTTCTTTTTTATGTTTGTTACTCTCTTGTAACACCTCTAATCTTCTGGCGCTCATATGACCTTATGCAATTGCGAGCGGCGTAAAACCTCTACTTTAAAAAACAAAACAAAAAAAAACAACCTTTGCTTGCCATTGGGTTTGGGTTTTTTTGGAAAGGGATGAAAAATGGAGTGTTGTGTGGAACACAATTCCTGCGACAAAACTATAAGTCGTATATAGCTCAAATTTTCAGGACACAGAGGAGTCTATCTATCGTTGCTGTATTCAGCTCTCCTCTCTATCTATCGTTGCTGTATTCAGCTCTCCTCTCTATCTATCGTTGCTGTATTCAGCTCTCCTCTCTCTCTATCGTTGCTGTATTCAGCTCTCCTCTCTATCTATCGTTGCTGTATTCAGCTCTCCTCTCTATCTATCGTTGCTGTATTCAGCTCTCCTCTCAACACTATTAGCAAGACTTGCCCGGGAATCGTCACTAGAATCACGAAGAACATCATCAGAGTCCGAATCATCTCTGAACACTCGAGATGTGGAAGGCTCACTCATTGTAAGCTTGAAATTCAGCCAAAAAATCGTAAATTGTAATGAAAATCAAGCTGTGATCGTCATGAAAAAATTCAGACCCTGGGTGTCGCCATTTTGCCGCTGGATATAACTGCGAAAATACTCTTCCGGGTGACCAGTGAAATTTTATCCGGCTTCAAATTCATCCACTATCGACTTTCGCAATTTTGTGAAATTGGCAAGAATAGGATGTCTTACGGCCATTTGCAATTTTACGAAATAGGCAACCAAAGTGTTAAGGTGAATGAAGAAATTCTTATAACTTCTAACAACAATAAAATTGCCTATCGAACTCGGGTCTCCTGTGTGTGCCACAGCCAAGTTCCTAACCCGCTACACCACAGACACAGGTCTATTATATATTGCTGTGAATTCTGGACAATTGCTGAACCTGGAGATAATGAATTAGAGGCGCCAGAGATGTGTCTTCTTAGGAGATCGATAAAATTTTTATGGGAAGAAAAGATGTCAAAGAGTGTTAATTTTGAAAGAGCAAGTTTTAGGACACTTGAATTGACATTGCCTTCAACATTTCCCTAAAATTGTGAACTCCTCGCCCCAGGACCTCAGAGAAATAACAAAACCTAATGAGTTTAAGCTCAAGACTCATTTGTTTAATTCGTAGTTCTGTCCCCATCGTTTTATGCAAGAAAAAAATTCTGAAATTATGCAAACTGAGCCCAAAAATGTGAAATTATGCGACTCTGTTAATTCTAACAAAGAGTGATAAAGGAAAATAATCAGAAGAGAAATTATGCAAAAAAGGATCAAATTTTGCTAAATTATGCTGGGTGCATAAAACCACAGGGACAGTTAGCTGTAGTGTGTGAGTAAATGCTGATATGTTTTCTTTTCATTGCTGTCCTTAAGTGTATTTAATTAATTTATGGTTGAGAAAATTCTTGTTTCTGTGGTTGAAATGGGTTAATTACTTGTTAATGTTACTGTGAAATGTTTGATCTTGTGTGAATGTAGTATTACACTCCGTGATCATGTGATAGATGTAAACCACTCAGAGTTTTTTCTTGTGTGGGATAGAGCGGTATATAAATGCAATCTATTATTATTATTACTATTACTATTATTTTTTATTTTTTTAAAAATTATTATTATTATTATTATGTTTATTTTGTTTATTATTATGTTTATTATTATGTTTATGAGGATGATGATTATTATTATTGTTATTATTATCATTAGATCTATTTTAATGTCACTGAAGAAAATAGAAAGCAAAAGAAGCAGAGGGAGACTGTAAACAATTTACTTGGAGAACTTGATTGAATAGATGAGGGTCAGAGATGGGGATACATTTTTTTAGAGCGTCTGAGCAGAGGAATGAATGGCAACCATGATTGGTGATGACGTGTTTCGACCTTGAACTTCATGAGGATGATGATATGAATTGGAGGCTGCCTTGTGTGACATTATGGGGGTAATCCAGTTTTGGTCCCAACCATTACTATACTTCCCTACTATCCTATAATCCTGAAATCCAACAACCCTCCAATCCTACCCCTACCCTTCACTCTCACCTTCACCCTAACCCTAACCCTAACACTATTCCTAACCCATGTAAAGTTACTATTGATATTTCATTACTCGTGGGGCCAAAACTGGAGACTGCCTCGTTATGCGTACTTTGAAAGGAGTCCAGATTTTACCCCATGATCAGTGAAATGGTCTTAAATTATTTATTTTTTAAATAGATATTTTCCTTGCCTTCGGTTCTTTTTACAGGCTCACGGATTTCTCAAGACCATGTTCGCCAGTTTGTGAACAGGAACAAAGAAATGATGATCAGTCATAACCTAGTGCACAGGATAGGACCGAAACCCTTGGGAGAGGTAAGTTCAGGCATCACTTTGTGGTACTGACTTTCTTTTTGGCTTTTTATCTGTCCATCTTTTCTCCTGTAGTGTTGATGAGCTGAGCCACATCTGATTGATACTCCCGCTCCTCCTCCTCCTCTTCCTCCTCCTCCTCCTCCTCCTCCTCTTCCTCCTCCTCTTCCTCCTCAAATGAAACTTGAAGTCCAGTATCAGTCATACAATGGGCTGTCCTTCCGAGTTCCTCTGTTGGCCCATCCAGCCTCTCTTGTAGTGTTGTTTGGGTGGGCCACATTTTATGTCTAGTGGCTCCGTGTGTCCTCATATTATTGTTGATGTTGTTCGGAGTTTTGTTTATCTTATTGTTGATGTTGTTCGGAGTTTTGTTTATCTTATTGTTGATGTTGTTTGGAGCCTCACAAATGTAT